ACGCGGGCGTGCCAACCACTGACCTCCCCGAAAAGTCCGGCGATGACCTCTGGAGCCACGCACGGCGTAGCCACGGGCCATCGGCAGCACGTTGCGATGTATAAGCCGTGTTGCTTATACAGCCCGACACGTCCGAAACAGGAGCATAAATGACACGTCTGGGGACAAAACATCCTGGCATGAAGGCACGAGGGCGCAAGGAGTGGGTAGGGAGAGGTGGAAAGCAGAGGAGATCATGGCAGTCCTTGCACCAGGGTGCTGACCGTGGCGTAGGCACGAGGATCAAAGCACCGGCAAGGTGTTGCTTCAAAGCCCGTTTGAGTCGACTAGCCAAAAAAGCCGTAATGAAGTGAACTTCATAACAGCATGTAGACTAATTGCAGCAAGGGATCTGCAATTAGGTTTTCAATGGGCATGCGGTGGAAAGAGGGAGGGGGGGGAATGCAGATGCCGAAGAAAAAAAGAAAAATGTTAGTATCAAAATAGAGCAAAAACTGAGTTGCAGACAGTTGGGGGGGGGGGGAGGGAAGGAGAAAGCATTGAGGGAGCACTTCACAAGATGGGGTTTGTTTGGAAAGATGGGAGCCCGCCATACAGCGGCTCTCACGGACATTATAGGCATAATGACATGATCTTTCCCGCTCTCCCCCTGTTCCTCAGAAGATTATGAGTGTTTGCGGTTCTGAAAGGTCTCAGATGAAATTCGTCTCCCCACTCCCATGCTGTTTGCAGTAGACAATACACTGCAGTGTGCCGTACACCTACTTGAGCTGTTGTAGGTGTTGGGTCCTTGTTCCGAGAGCCTGCAGCTGATACAGATCATTATTTCACAGTCTTTTTAAACCAAGGTAAAGTGCTTTCTAAAAAGGAGATCCATTTTCCTCCTGCAGCTTATAACCAGCCCTTGGTCCCTCCCAAATGCTGGCCCAAATGTAGGTGAGGCCACACGCATCAGCTCAGAGGATGGTCAAAGCTAAAGCTAGCTCCATTTCTTTTTGCTTTTGATCTCTTCCCAGAGCTGGTTCACCACACAGCCGCGTCAGCACAGTGCATCTATGTTAATATTTTAGTTTGGATTACGAGTGCCTTTTTGAACCAACTCTTTAGATCGTTCCGGTTTACCATGCTGCGATTCACGTTGCAGAGGGATTTGAGAACAAACGAACCGAGTTGCTTTGGGGTAAAACTAAAGCAGAAGAAGGGAGCACACCTAAAGCACTCCAGCCACTAATGGATGTTCATTAATGGACATTCGCTCTGCAGGATGAGAACACAACTAGCCCAAAGAAACACCTTTGAAATACATACAGCGTGGGTGGCAGGTCCCCAGTGCAGCCGTACCGCTCGGCAAATCCATGCCTGTTGTGCTGTCCTCGCTGCTAATGTAGACGTAGGTGCGTGTGCCAGCAAAAGGGGGAAGTGAGGCAGCGCAGGCATAAGCAGCCAGAGAAGGCAGGGCCGCTTCTTTGGGGAGCAATATCACTCCTGCCAGATTCAAGAGACCATGAAATTGCAGCCACAGAGAGAACTGACAAACACTGAAAGGACAAGGGATGCCCCGAGGGCAAAGGATTGACTGAGGTTGCTAAGCAAAACTGGAAATAAAAACCAAGTCCCATACTGGACCACATAAGTAGACCCACACTCTACTCATTTTGTGTAACTGGGCCCATAAAAGGCCCAGAAGTAGGTTCAGCCTCTGCCCCACAACCTATGGGCCACCACTGCTGACCTGAAAACCTGCTCCATGGCTTTCTCTCCTGTGTGTAGCTTGGCACACAGCGCCCTCTGAGCATGTTCAAGCTGAAAGCTGTGTTGCAATGCAGAGTTACTTTCCCAAGCGGGTAGCAGAAGCTCTCCAGATATGGAAGCAGAGAGCTCCCACATTTTCCTTCACCCTTTTTAGCCAGATTTTGCATGTAGCTCTGTGCCTTATATGCATTTGTACACAAAGCTTCATGCAATATTTATGCAAAGCTATTTCAACTATCTCTGTGCTGTTGTGCACTGTGCAATGTAGACATCGCTTCAAAAATAAATTACAGCGCTAAATAATATGTCTTAATGTTCAGATTTATTTATTTTGCCACTTATCATTTGGTACATTTCAGTCCAATTCCTCCCTCCCAAGTCACCTCTTCCACTCTGAAGAGTATAAGATGCTGCTAGTCTCCTGTGCTCCCTGCTGACATTTCTGTGTTCATCCTTCGCACTGCATCCGTTCCAGGAAGGCAAAGAAACACAAGAACTGCCAAAACAGTCAACTGCCTACATCACGTGGAGAGGAGAATGCAGCTTCGACTGAACAAGACTCACCGTGCAGCTAGGATCAGCAAAGAGGAAGGGGAATCTGAAAAAAAAGGAGCCCAGGTTTCACCCCACAGATGAAGGAATAATAAGGTGCGAGAGAAGCAGTGGGAATTAGGAGGCTGGACAGCATAGGAGAAGGAGATGTGTGAGTGAGCAGCCAGCAAGAAATGTCAAATTATGTGAATAACAGAAGGAAAACAAGATGTGACCTCAGACACCAAGAGTGAGGGAAGGTACACAGAAGACTATTCAAGAACTAGGATGAAGCTCAGCAGAGCGTAGGTCACGGAGACAAGCGGAGGGAGAGCCCAGAAAGGCAGGGTTTGAAGGCAGCAGAAAGACCAAAGAGAATGAGCATAAAATACAATCCCTTTAATTTACTCAGGAAGACACTGTTCAGAAAACAATAAAATAAAGAGTCCATAAGCAGCAAGACAAGAAGTCTGGCCATAGGTGGTGGAATATAGATGAAAGACAGAGCCAGAAGAGGACAAGAAAGTGAGAAGATGGAGAAAAGGCTGCCTTTGCTAGGTATCATCCTCAAGTAAAACAGATATTTTAAGCACGGAAGGAACAAGAGGCTAAGACTGGTTTCTCCCCTCTCAGTTACACTGCAGTCAATCATCCCAGTGAAAAATTAGTCTGAGATAAGAGGGAGGCCCCAGTCCTCAGATTAGCTCTGACTGGACAACCTTTGGAGGCCCCTATCTCAGCAAACCAAACATCTCAAAACTCTTAGTAATAGGACTAAGTAACAGGACTCTCACACAAAAAAAATCTCCGAGTCCAAAACTGTCTTCCATTCCTCTCCTGGCTTGTGGCAACAGCTGAAGGACTTGCTCTTACACTCACTCCCTTTTAAAGTTGCTACTCCTTCACTGGGGTGATCAGCTGAAATTCTCCAAAAACAAATAATCCCAGATTCCCCACCCTAAACTTGAACATAGAAACTGCAAGGAAGGAGTCAGTGAGTTATCTGCAGGGAAGGAGAAGAGACGATGA